CTTTGTAATATGCATAAATACTTGTGGAAAGATGCACTACAAATGGCTAGCAGTGTTTTCCTTGACAGCGTGATTGAGGAATTAGGGAGGATGCAGAAGAAGAAAATTTTTCTATAATGCTTCATATTGTTCTTTAGAGTTTGAATTTTTACCATGTTAATATATTTCTTTTAATTGTAAAAAATATTTTAAGTAAGCAATTTCCATGTTTTGTGGACTTTCACTTATTCTCCTAAGTGGAAGTGTCCAAGTGATATCTAAGTTATAGTAGGATTGGAAAAGAAAAGTTAAGTTGGGCTTTGTATTTTCTGTTTTGTTACAACACACAGTTTCTGTTGAAACTCCCTGGAAGCCCAGGCCAAGATACTTAAACACAAAGGAAAAGAAGAAATTTTCAAGTAGAGAGCTAAGAATGGAAATGTGCAGAACATTTGGCTCCCTAATAATAAGCCTAACATTCCTGATGGTTTGTTGTATGTTTAGTTTTTAGATGCTGGAGACGAGAAAATAAATTTTCTCAGGAGAAAATCACAATATAATTGTAAAATGAGGTTGCTTGCTTCATGACTGGATAGTTAGTGTTTACTGAGAGAGATCAAGAGTTGCTAGAATACACTAGATCATCTTGGGCCTACAAAACCCTCAACAGCCACATAGAGATGTAAGCATGGCCTAAGTCCACAGCCAGCCAAAATGAAAATCAGATAGCATTATACTGCAGGCCACGAGTGTCTTGTTCTGAGAACTTATAGCTAGATCTCAGGGCTGCAACATATTATGATTGGCCATGTCATTCCATAGTACTGACATCTGCAGAGAGTGGTGGATGTTATATGCAAATTAAAATAAAAGGAATATTTAATTTTGTTTTTAGAATATTTTGCGATTTTCCTGGACAGCCAGAGGCTCCTTGGACCACAGCAAAGTCATGGGTTGCTGTCATTTTAAACAAGACAATGGGTATCAACTGCTCTGAGAATTTAAGAGTGGAATAAAATGCCACTAAGAAGTGACACTGCCATTTGTTTGACTTGAATTCTTTTCAAAGAAAATAACTGAACAGTGTTACTACTAAGAGATTTCTTGGATTACTGTATTGTTGGTTAACTAAAGGCAAAGCCCAGGCACCTCCCATTCTGTCCCTGGCTAATTCCAGTGCTGGAATATTATCTGTGTCCTGGGTAAGTCCTAAACAATGGAATGTTTTGTGCAACAAGAAACACTTCCTCCCACTCTTCCTCTGTCCTACACAAACACAGATGTTTGCTTCAATATTGAAGTGACCAAATGTGAGGCCTGTTTCTGTGTTAATAGTCAGAAAACACACTAACATCTGCCACCCACTTTAGTTTCAGAGCATTTCTCCCTCTTTCGCATCTTGCACTCCTTCATATGCAGCCACATGTTACAGGGTGATTACGAGAGAGCTTTTACGATGCTCTTAACCTGCACCACTCCACAACCTGTCTGTCAAAGCAGGCAAATGTCATTAGTGAATATTTATTTTAGACTTGTGGTAAAAGTTTTGCATTTTATTTTATTTTATTTAGAAATAATCAATCAATTAAAATTGAAAACAATTTTCCAGCCTTTCAAAATGAAGGTGGGACTTGAGAAGTTTCAAAGTTTGCTCAAACATGAGTTTAATCTACTTGATTTAATCCAGCAATTACTCAGCATATGTTGTGCAAGGGTGGTCAGTGCTCCAGGAGCAGTTGGGGGTCCCTGCATAAAAGTCAGGAGATGAGAGAAAGTGTTAGAGAGCCTGAGAGTGGTAGAACAAGGAAAGGAGGGAGTTCCAGGAGGCTACTCACTCCATCTGAGAACATATCTCATGTGGCTTTACATTGTCACAATATGCTAAGAAAGAACATGCTGCTTAGATTATAAAAAGTGGTGTGAAAGCATCCTGTCTGGGGTAGCAAATGCAAAATGAAAACATGTATATTTTCTCTGTTGGCTTTGTCTGTGCTCATCCTATTTCCTTCTAAGTTCTCCCTTTACCTCATCATGGACTTGGGACTCCTTATGAGCTGCACAGGATGCTGGCTCTAAATAGATTCCTGGGAAAGGGTTGGAAATGCCTGTGTCATGCCAGGGCGTGGGAGGCAGTGAAGGAAGGGGCCAGGCAGGGATAACAGGACCAGGCGAAATGCACCCACAGCACAGCTGTGTCTACTTAGCAAAATTGAGGCCAGGGACAGGCAAGGCCAAGCACCCAAACCTTGACAGTGAACAGACCAAATTCTTACTTAGCCTTTTCACCCCTAAGTGGTCTCTCAGGCAGAGTTAGTTTCTCTGGGCCGCCACAGAACCCTATGACCCTCCCGGCAACACCTGTTTGGGTGGAGCAGTCCTCCTTCACCAGTCACTCCTATTCAGCTCTAATTGTATATAGTTCAAGACTTCTCTCTCATTTCCAGGCCTACCCTGGCAAAGCCTCAGAGTAGCTTTCAGAAAATATGCTTGTATTTTTTAAAATTAAAAAGTCTGGAGAGCTGAATATACAGCTTAGAATTAGGGTGTTTGCCTGGCGTGTGCTTGTCTGGATTCCACTCCTAGTACTGAAGAAAAAAAGTGGGGGTGGGAAAAGGAGGTTGGGGAGGAGCACGATGAGGTGGGAAGGGAAGAGGAGGACAAAGAAGAGGAGGAGAGGAAAAAAACACTGCAAATTTCCAAATTAAAAAATTATTGATTCTACTGCATATATATATATATATATATATATATATATGTTGGGGCTGGGGATGTGGCTCAGTGGTAGAGCTCTTGCCCTGCATGCACAAGGCCCTGGGTTCCATTCCCAGCACCACACACACACACACACACACACACACACACACACATATCCTGATTTTTTTTTTCTTCTACTAAACAGGTTAATCAATGCATGAATATTGATTGACTCAATAAATCAGTAAATATAGTAGCTAAAAAAAGGTAAAGGGAAGATTTTGAAAAGTTAGGCCAAAACCAAAAGGCATACAAAGAATCTAGGAACACCTAAGACGATTTGAGTCTTAGCATGGTCCACCAGCCTAGACCTAGTTGTCTTTTAAAATCACTTCCTTGGGTGACATCCATGCTTGAGCAAGACTCACTGAGAGGCACAGTCTAAGCATGGGACTTCTAGGTGACAGTGCAGGGACAAGCCTGTCTGTTGAAAACCTCCCTGGGAGAAGGCTCCTAGCTTTTGTGTCTGGCGCCTAAGTATCAACCTCAGGTCAAGCACAGGTTCCATTTCCTTAAGTTCAGGACTTGCCATCCACCATCCACAACCATTCCTGCATCTACACTTCTTTGGTGCAGGAAATAGATTTGTTACACCATCTTAGTGTATGTAATACCCGGAACAATGCTCCCTCAGAAAAGAATAAAGTTGTGTTCAGTAGCTCTTTATTGAATAATAAATTAGCAAGTTGTCCTTCCCTTACATGACAAGCCTTTTCTCTTAAAATGTAGTAAATTGAACCTGTACTAGTTGTCTAATGCTGCTGCCTCCTATCATCACTAACTTGGTAAGTTAAGACAATACAAGCTTATTCCTATAGTTTTATAAGGTAAAATGTCCTAAAAACCAAGGTGCTGGCAGAGTTGTACTCCTTCTGGAGGCTCAAGGGGAGAATCCATCCTTTTCTTTTCCACCTGTGCTTCTGGGCTCATAGCCCCTTTCCATTGTCCATCCTTGCTTTCATCATCCAAGTTCCTTTTCTCCTCATCCTTTCCTTCACAGCAGGAGACTGTGACCTCCTGCTCCCTTAGAAGAACGCAAAGGAGGACATTTAGCACAGCCAGATAATTGAGGATAACTTCTCCACCTCAAGATTCCTAATCACTTTCACAAAGTTCATTTTGCCATGTTTTTGGCGTTAGGATCTGTACATCTCTAGGGCCCAATATTCTGTCCAGTACAAAACCTTGGTGGGGAGAAAGAGATTTGTACTTACTAACCCAGTCTCTCACACTTTCCATGCTTGATTGTAGTTTTCTTATCTGTAAGCTGAGGAAATTCATGCAACGACACATGTTATTGGCCATGTATATTCTAATCTTGTGAATATGTCAGACAAGGCTTATGATGTTTATATTCTAGCAAAGAAAAATATGCTATGTGGTGATGAGTGTTGAGAACTGAGGATGAGACCAGTGTGAGCAGAGTAGAGCAAGGCAGGTAACAGTCAATAGGGGAAGAGTGGGAGTTTAGCTTAGTTCTAGAGATTTAAGAACAAGGGGCTCTCATGATCCCCTCACAGTTGGTGGCAGAAGCATGTGTGTGTGAGAAAGATCACAAAACTAAGCAGGAAGCCAACAAGGATAGGGTGCCACAATCTCTGTTCAGGGCAGTGCTCCTGCTGACCCAAGAAGCTCTTATTAGGCTTCACCTCTTTAAAACTTCCATCATTTCCCAATAAATGAACTAGAGAACAAATCACATCCAAAACAGTGGGCCTCAAGAAGTGCATCCTTGTTCTGTCCATGACCTTGTAGGCTCATTCAAACTATCTAATTGCTAGTATTTTAAAAACTAGGGCACTTCAGCTTATATGATCATGCTTGTGCTCTAGAATAGCACCTACTCCTGCTGTATGTTAATAAGGTTTACTAAAAATCTTCCCTGAAATATTCTGCTTCTCACATGGCATCCATGTCTCCAGTCTCCATGGAGCACTCCATGTAGCTTAGGACCATGGTGAGAGAAGATCAACAAGTTTATGAGTATTAGTGAAGGAAAAAAGAACGGGGACTGGAAAATAGATAACTAAAGCCAGGAAAAGATGATAGATGTATTATAAAAGAGGTGTCACATGATATTTGAAATGACAAAAATGGTCATTTAAACTGTAACCTTCTGAGATGGTTTCCCACCTCCTCCAGTTCTCACTCTGCCTGCAGGACCTTCCCAAATAGCATCTCCCAAACTACCCTACCTTACAAGCCAGAAGATCCATGTGACAATACAGAAAGGCTCATTACTCCAATTTATTTTAAATATAGTTTAATGAATTTCTCATTAACAACACTCTCAAGTCGGTTACAATTTCATCTGATTATCCCTACAGTAGACTACCCAGGATAGTTTCAGAATCTTCAAATTCACTGTTTGTTATATTTAAAGAAACATTCAAGCCCCAGTGGAACCATGTATCAAAATGAGAGGACATTTCAGCCTGTCATCCTGATTGTATACTTCTACGGTACTGGAGAACAGTTGGGTTTTAAATGCAGGATCCACATGAGCATAAACATATAGTTAATGGCTGGAAGGGACCAGGAAATCACGTGGTTCAGCCATTTCCATTTAATTCAGATAACAAAACAGGTTCAGCTGTAAAGGGCTTTCCAAGATCATCTTGCTAGTTATGGCAAAGTCAGGACTGGGAATAAAGTCCAGGATTTTTTTCAGTGTTTCACCTTTTCATTGTTTTCCAGTGTTTTGTTCACTGCTTCCACAAACACAATCTCCTCTTTTGCTTCCCATTCATTGCCTCAAAATGTTTGCCTTCTTCAGTAATCAGACAATATGAACAGATCCTTAAGAGATTCTGGCCAACACAAAATCTGTAAGTCAAGATGCAAGTACAAGTGCTGAAACCAGAAATAACTCCTATCTTCACACAGTGGTTGCAGAAACTGTGTTTTAAATAATTTTCATGGAAATTGTTTGATCCACAATAGGAATGCAAGGCTCACCCACAAGGATTTGATCAAACAGAAAAGGAAACGAAATGCAGGAAGTCATAACTTAGATTTATTATATAAAAAATATTAGTTGAAACCTAAGTAATAAATCTCAAGTAATCAGAGTATTTCATGCACTATGATTTTTTTTTAGAAAGAGCAAACCACAAAAATGCAAACATATATTAGATAATTTCAAAATGCTTCTGGGGTTTTAGTCTAACAAAAAGGACACCTTCTCCCACAATTCCTCCTAGTACCTTTATTTCTAAGTGACTCTTAACTCTGTACACCTTCTTGTTCCCTGTTGCATACATTCATTCATTTAATCAATCTGCCAGCATTTATTAAGCCCTTCTTTGATAGACTCTGTGAAGTCCAAGAAGAAGAAATTACCCTCTAGAAATTTAATGGCTGTTTAGAAAGTTAACCTAATATTTAGAAGTTTTTTCACATTTTTAATTCTGTAAGTGAATAGTGGTTCTGTACCGAGAATTTGCATTATACATTCCAGATCTACCATTTATCATTATTATTTTTTTTAATGTATTTAGTACAGAGTCTACAGGGTCTCACTACACAGGACTTATAGTAATCCACTTGTTTTCAGCCTCCCAAGCACTAGGATTACAGGCTCGCATGTCACCATGCCCAGTCTCAGTTACCTACTCAGCATGCCCTGGGGATGGGGCCAGCATGGTATGCTGGGGGTCACTGAGCCTGCCTAAGGAGGTACGCTATAGTCTGCTGAGCTATCCAGCTATCCTATTCATTACTTTTATCTTGTTTTATGCCTCTAGGGTTGAGAGGGATTGACTCCCAAGGCTCTGGCATTCTGCAAATAGAAAGAAACAAAAGACCAGAAGATGAAAAGAAAGAGGGGCAAAGATATTGCAAACCTTTTCCCTGTATCTGCTACTGTGTATGTAGACAGTGGTGACATTCCTCATTCAAAGGTTGGTTAGGGGGGCCAGGGAGATGGCTCAGTAGAATAAGCGCTTGCCTGGCAAGCACAAGGACCTGAGTTCAATCCCCGGTTCCGCAAAAACAAAACAAAAAAACATGTTTCAAAGGTTGGTTAGGGAGCCTTCTCCAATAATTTTTCATCCTGCATGTCACTGTGACTGTCACTAATAAAACAGGCATGTTTCAGAGAAAATAAAACAAAATAGAAATTAAAACAATTGGAAGCTAAGGAAACTTCTATCTAAAGTAGTTAAAATGAGGCTCCATTAAGACAGTCTGTCTGCTCTTTGTCGAGCCACTTTATGCTCATAGTTGAGAAATTTTGTATTTCCTATTTTCTATATATCTAAATGTGCCACAACTGTGTGTGACAAGTAGGGCAACTTTATTTGGGTAAGTGTAGCTTCCTGGTGCAATCTTGAGAAAAATTTCAGATCCATTCTCAGTATCTCAGCATCTTCCCTAGAAATGGGGCCAGTATGCCCTGATACATGAATCCTGAGTATATAATGCTGTATCAGTATTTCTAAATGACTCTTAATTTGGGATTAGTCAGAAACCAACATCCAGAGACAAAGAGGTACAGTGGATTTAGTCATCCTATTTTTTTTTTTTTTACTCAACATATAAGGAAAGAGCAGTAAATGAAGGTTAAATTGTTCCCTGAAGTCAGTAATAGGGATACCAGGCAGATCTTCAAGTTTGGGCTCAATTCAACTAAAAGGAAATAAAAGTAAAGGAAAACACTAAGCTGCGGGTTTGGTGAAATCCAGTGAAATTAAGACTGGCTTGAATAGAATTTGTCTGAGACAGTGAGGTTAATAACATATTTTAAAGGGATCTTTTGATTTGGTTTTTAGAAAGATCTAAGCATTAGTAATAGCTAAAATCTTAGAATCATACCACATAGGAGTGGGAAAGAATACAATAGGGTTTGACTACAAATATCAAAGGAGAAAACAGAAAGGAACCTACCAAAAAGCTCCTTCAGAAAGCTTTTAGGACAACTTTCTAAAGTTTTCTTTGTGCATCAACTTGGAATTTGAAAGCTAATCCATGCCTGATACGAAGTGCGGTGGTATATCAGTTCACAAACTCAATTCTTTCCATGATTCTGGTCGTAAATCAAATTGGTCGGGAATCTGATTTGGCGGTCATATAATTTGGTTTGTGACCAGAATTGAGGAAACAACTGAGTTCATGAGCCAAGGTACCACTGTAGCTGGGAACTGAGGCTGAGGTAAAAATAGAATGTGAGTACACAGCATATAGATTTTTGTCTCTTGGGTCACATCATCTGGAAAAGATATGCCATGCAAAAAGAGAAAACCTGGTAATATACTCTTTCAATAGTTTGCTTTTACCATATCCAGGACCGGCATGATTGCTCAGCAGACTAAAGTGCCTGCTTAGGCAGACCTCAGCAGCCAGGGTTCGATCCCTGGCGTGCTATGATGGCCCCACCCATGTGCATGCTGAGATGGCAATTGAGACTGGGCGTGGTGGCACACACCTGTAATCCCAGCATTTGGGAGGCTGAAAACAGGAG